TCTCAAGTTCTGTGTGATGACCATTGAATTAAAGCAGTTTCCCAAGAAACTGCAGGAGTTTTCTAAAGTATTTGGTAGAGACCATTGTCTCCCATTGCAAATTCAAGTCTCTCTAGGCAGACCCACCACCTGTAGGTGGAATACACCAAACTGATGTGCTTGCTTATCCCATCTGTGTCATCAAGCCATGCTTTATTACCCAAATTCGGGCAAAGAATTAAAAAAGCATTCTGTCTATTGTTCTACTAAGTGACTAGCAAATAATTGCGTAGCCCACTCATGTACGTCACATCATGTTCATCTCTATCCACAAGGAAAATCACTTTTAATCTTTGGCTCCAGCATTAGGGAAGTGTTCAAAGTGATAAATCATATGGAGCGTTTTGATAGCTTCTTCCTAATAGAATTCAGTTTTCTGTATTTTTGAGAATTATTTTCTCATCTCTGTAAAATAAATAAGACTATAAATCCTGGTCTAAAGGATAACACCAGGAATCTGGCAGTTATTAAATAATATGCAGCCAAAATGAAGTATTGTACCTCTGATTCATTTGTCACATATTTTAGTCATTCGTTTCACCTGTTGGCAGGTTTGAAGGTGAATAGGTATAACAGATACAAACAGTAATTTATTTGCTATTTAAGTTTGCTTAGTAGTGCCTGGGCTGTAGGAATTTGGGTGATTCATCAAAGGCTCTTGTCCTCCAGACAGCACAGACTCTGTTTCATTACAAGCCCAGCATTTTCTGTAAAAGCAGGAGGAGGCATGTCGAAGCTTTCCATTCCTGGTTAACATGAACAGAACATCTCAGCCCTTGCTTTGCATCTACCATGTGCTCACAGACAAGTTGTAAAACCAAAGTTCTCACTCATTTTGAATATTAAGATCCCCAGACATTTTATGGATTGTGTGCCTTCTGAAATGCTCAGTTTTGATCAGGTGCACGTTCACATCCTATTCATCACTCGGCAACATAACCTATGGAGGATGATTGGCATTCATACTAGAAATGCCTTATGCTTTCCTACCACTATGAATTATTGCTTTCATCTCTGAATTTACATACACTGATGCTTGGACAGATTCTAGACACCTTTGGAAGGAAAATGTTTCGAGTGACTGATGGAACAAAGAATGTTTCTACTTCTCATCAGACTATTCTTTAAAATATATCACTGACTTAGTATTTTGATCACTGCATTTTAGTTTAGGCTCACCAAAACTCATTCTGTCAAGGTGGGTTTTTCTTTCCAAAGATGTGTACTAAGATCTAATTGGTTCTGCATCTTCAGTGTTTTAAGGTTTTTCTATTTTGATGCTACTGATGCCACTGTGCTTATTTAGAAGAAAAAAAGGCTTTAGTTCTTTACAAAGGAACTAAAAAAGGGTATAGTTCCTCTCATCCTCTCTGCTCACATAGCTGGGATTTGACTTCTCCGCATAAGAAATGGTTTTGTTTCAGTGTTGCATTAGGGTTGTGTGACAAGATTTTGGTAACAGTGGGGGGACTACAGGAGCAGCTTCTTTGAGAAGCTGCCAGAAACTTCCCCCATATCTGACAGAGCCAAAGTCACTTGGCTTCAAGATGGACTTGCTATTGACCAAGGCTGAGCCCTCCAGGCCTCTGTGATAACTTATTTTAAAAGGGGAAAAAAATGATTGGGCAGAAGTAATTGTGGCCAGAGAAGAGATGAGAATGAGAATATGTGAGAGGAACAATTCAGCAGACACCAAGGTCAGTGAAGAGGGAAGGGCAGGAGGTGCTCTACATGCCAGAGCACAGATTGCCCTGTAGCTTGTGGTAAAGACCCTGGTGAGATGTGCTGTCCCCCCGCAGTCCATGGAGGTCCACGGTGTAGCAGGAATCCACCTGCAGGCCATGGAGGCAGCTGACTGCCTGAAGGAGGCTGTGACCCCATGGGAAACCCACACTGGGGCAGAGTCCTGGCAGGACCTGTGGCCCTATGGGGAGAGGAACCCATGCTGGAGAAGGTTTGCTGGTGGGACTTGTGACCCTGCAGGGGACTCACACTGGAGTGGTTTGTGAAGAACTGTAACCCATGGAAAGGAGTCATACTGGAGAAATTTATGGAGAACTGCCTCCTGCGGGAGGGACCCAGCACTGGAAAAAGGGAAGAACTCCTCTCCCTGAGGAGAAAGCAGCAGCAAAAAAACCACATGATCATAACCTCCATTCCCTTCTCCCTGTGCTGCTAGGTGGGGAGGTGGTAGAGATTTGGGAATAAAGTTAAGCCTGGGAAGGAGGAAGGGGTGGGAAGAAAGTGTTTTTAAGATTTGTTTTACTTCTCATTATCCTGCTCTGACTTGATTGGTAATAAATTCAGTTAATTTCTCCAAATCGAGCCTCTTTTGCCCATGACAGTAATCAGTGAGTGATCTCTCCCCATCCTTATCTTAACTCACGAGCTTTCTTTATATTTGCTCTCCCCTGCTCTCTCCAGTTGAAGAGGGGAGTGATAGAGCAGCTTTCATGGGCACTGGCATCCAGCCAGGATGTTAAACAAGTGTTAAATTGCACATTTTTCTGTCTCTGTAGTTTGTTCTGGCTCTGTTACACCGAAGGACGCTGCAGATGCAGGCAAACACTATTCTGTACACCAATGACAGGACTTAACACATCAACATTTACCTGCTCACAAGTGTGGAGTTCCTGGAAGCTGCAGGAAGTATCTTCTCTCTTCACCAACTCATATTCATCTGCTGCCCTGTAGAGTTTCAGAAGATCTTCCCACTCCCTTGATTTTGCTTCTGGTGTGAATACATAAAAGCTTGAACTCTGGATACCTGTTGTATTTGACAGGCTAATTGACCCATTTTAATTAATTGTCTTTGGCTCACACATAAGAGATCACCTTTCCCATAAGTAGCTTAAGGAATCCACTCATTAATCTTCTTAAGCAGCTATTCTGTTTTCACTTCCTCTAAGGCATTTGCTCACACAGCCTCCACACTAGACTCATCCAGCAAGGAAATCCCCAAAGGCTCTTCACTGAGCTCTGGGAGAACCCTACCTCACAAAATCATTCCTGGAAGAAAGGGGTCATTATATTTTAGTTAGATGCTCTTTTACCTTGGGAAAGGTAGCCAAATTAAGCTGACCTCAACTTGATTTTGAAGTTTTTCCAACTTCTAGGAACAATTACACAATTACACCTGGAGGTAGGTAAGGCCTCTAAAACAATCTTTCTGGTACTACATTAAAATCACCTCTGAATACAAAACACTGTATTTTCAACCCCTTGCTATCATACTGAGATGAAAATATTGCATTAATTTTAAGTAAGCTTTGACAGTTTCAAGACTAAAAACATACTGAATCTCCGTTTTTGCCCGGTGTAACCTCACAGAATTCATGAAACAAGAAGCTCTTGTGCTTTTTTTTTTTTTTTCTGGCTGCATCACAAATGTTTTTGGAAAGGTCTTCTTTGGGCCACCTTTTCTTCTTCTGCCACACAACTTGCTCTGGCTTGTAAGTAAAAAGATACTACTTTGGAAATAATGTAATAAAATCTCTGTTCTCACTGGTGTAGTAGAAACAGGAGCTGAAAAACTGATTACATTTGACATATGTAGTTGAGTCAATGAACAGGACAGGGTGGATTTTAGAATATGCAATGCAAGGCAGCAAGGTTTAAAAAAAGATGGGTTGAGAGACTTGGGAAAAAGCTGATTCAGACTACATACTGATATTAGGACAAGGCCATAGGTTTTAAACATGCTTAGGGAGAAGAGGGACTAACAGAGAAGAAGGAAAAAACGTAAGGCTGGGGAGAATGGGAAAAATCAAAATCAGCTTTCTGTTTTGGTCATACTGAATAGAAGCTGACAGCTCTTTAGCCCTAAAATTATGTCAGGTGAAAGCTGAGATGTTAGTTTGGACAGGAGAGTGACACCAGTCAGTACTGTGTTTGTCAGGATGCTTGTTGAATCTGTGTGGATGAAATACCCTCGGGGATTGTGCAGAGGGAAAAAGGGTTTTAGGGCCAAGCATATGGAACCACCACAAAATATTTCAGACAAAAAAGCCACTTTGAAGGGTTGGAAAGTTTACAGCATCCTAACCAAATGTGGCTGATCAGAAGCACAGAAATCAGGATATTGTGCCATCTTTGGAGACAGCACATGCTAAACTGTATTTGGAGGTGGATTGTCAGGAGGATAAGGCTCTATGTCCTTCCCAATGGTGAATACAGAGGGGTCCTTAGCACATCTGTGTCCATCTCTGTGGGGCAGCAACCTTAGTACAGAGCTGGTTTGATATTATTTATGGGAGTGGCACCAGACCAACTACTCAGGTTTTCAATCAGTCTTCCTTTTTCTTTATAAAGAGGAAAAGAACCCCAAACAGCCAGACTACTGTTCTGAGTGCCTCAAAGTTGTCATGGGCCACCATTCAGTTGGGCTCCATATTGGTGAGAACAGGTCAGTCTTGGCCTGACTTCCTCTGCCCTTACACCAGCCATCTCTCCCTTGCCTTGTGCTCCATCCCTTGTACCAAAACTTGTGAGGTCACATGTATAAGTCAGATCAGCATGCTGAAACTATTTTCTTTTTGGCAATATCAGTTTTCTGCCAGATCAGGTTGTTTACTCAGCTCACCCTGCTGTTGCAGAACCTCTAAATCTTAAAGCTGACACTCTTAAAGAAGAGTTGTGGGAGCATGTGGCTGGGGCTGGGAAGGTACCCCCTTTCTGTAGCACTGGGCAAGGCACAAGAAAAAGCATCACTGGAGCTGGTCTCCCTGTCATTAGGGTGGAGAGAAAATGTCCCTGTGAAAATGAAGCAGGCTGTGCTTTAAACCTGAGTCACCACAGTGCAAAGCTCAAGTTTTCTATTGCATTTACATGTATTAACAGTGAAACTACTAATTGCCTTGTCTTGGTGGGTTTTGTTTTTAGCACATTTTTCTTCATCTTGTACTAAACAAACACTGTTCCAATTCCTTTCCATAGGCAGACTTTACATTGAGGTCTACATGTAGACACTTTTGTGGATACAAAGTGTGAGGAATCGTTTTTAACCTCTGAGATGAACAGATACACTCAGTGGTATTTTGTGACCACCTTTAGCTCAGTTTTTCAATAAATACATCAAAAAATCCAAGTGCTCTGAGTAGGGTACATTTCTTGACTTTAAGACCAGTCAGTAGGTGGGAGGTGGGACAGATCTGTCCGTGTGACCTGGGGGATAATAGATAAGAGTATTTTGACACTGCATGTTTCTCTCTCATGTACTGTGCTTGCCTCCTCTCACCTTGATTATAAAGATTTTTAAAAAATCTGATTCTTCACCACCTACACATATGCTATTAAAATCATGATGTGTATTAACAAAAAACCTTTCCCAGCTGGATGGGAAATTGCTGATAGTGTTGCTATCAACAGAAGCCAGCTCTTCATTGTGCAGCCATTCACCATGAGGCCATAAAACCAAAGCCTGCCGGGTTTTACAGTCTCAGAAATTGTTAGTTTCTCATCCACTCCTCCATCTTTCCTTTGTTTTTTTTGTTTCGCCTCCTCTCTCCCTGGATAAATATAAACTGCCAAGATCATGGGTAGCACTGACAAAGCACGATGGAGAGCTGACCAAATTACTCTGTCTCGTGTTCCATTATTTTTGGGAATGAGGTGGGAAGGAGCAAGAGGATAACACAGGCAGACCTGCATTCTGGGCCCTAGCTCCAGAGCAGCTGCAATTACTGATGCTCCTCCTGCCCCTCCCTCCTTGGCAAACAGTTACAGATGGAGATGATTCTTAGGGCTAAGCTGTTTTCAGGAGAGTAACCAACTCCATTTAACAAGGAGCAGTTCTGAAAAACATCACTTGGACCACAGTATCTTTTTCAAATTCCAGGAAACTGAAAGCTCAGTTCAAACTTCAGTGCTTTCCTGCTCTCATAAGGCAGCACTTGACAGCTCTGGTCATACATTTTTACTAGGGTTAGGAGGTGATATCACAACTTCGGGCCTCTTGCCAATCTGAAGTAGCTATGCTTTATCAGTGGGAAAGAAACCAGTTTAGTTTACAACATCTTAGTGACTTAGTTCCTCATTAGCTCCTATTATTATTCTCTGAGATTTCTTTGAGACTTGCAATAGAAAATACTGGACAAGTGAAATAGAATGACAAAGCTGGTCTCTAGGAGGATTTTCTCTGGAATTCAGTCAGTGACAGCTACTGCTTCATTGTGCTTTCTTTTTGGTGTGAAATTCAGTTGTTGAATATCACATACCTACTTAGGCTGATAACTAACAGCTGTAGCCCTGAATGACTCCACATTTGCTGGCAGGATGGCTCCATTCTCAGTAGTCCTTATTTCTGCTGCTGTCTGTGAAACACTACGAAACATGAATGATTGACATGTGGATTAAGTAGTCTCTAGATAAATTGTAGGTAATTAATTCCCACACCAAAAAGAAACGTGTCAAAAACCGTTAATGTATAAATAGAAAACACATATCTTAGTCAAAACAGAACCCACAGCTGCTAACAAAAGTAATTCTATTGTTGCTGTGTTCTGAGCCCAAAGGGGACTAAAGCAAGTAATTAATGAGACATCTCCTTGTGTCTGGGTGTCCTTTTCAGCAGTTACTGAATATTTCCTCTGCTTTCATATATCTTCTCCCACCAGTTTAACATGAAATAACAATTTTCACTTTGTAATTAAGACCTGTCTTGCAAGCATAACAGAGTCTCATCTTCTGCACGGCTGTGGGACCTGTATCACACCTCCTCTCCTCAAAAGGAGCTCATCTGAAACACGCGAGGTGAATCACTATCTAGGCAAACAGAGCTGGGACTGGAGAATTAAATGCCTCCACTAACTTTTATGGTGTGTACCCACTTAAAAACAGCTGTGCCTGCAGCACAGGGCTTTTGTTTTAACCACATTATACTGAGAGAGAAGGAAAGAAAAGGAAAGAAGGAAATGGTTTTGTCCCTAGGCTCTGGAAGCATCTTGGGGAGTTGAGAGGATGCCTGGGGTAAGCATGTAGACAAGCTCCACTACAAGACTTGGCTTGGAAAAGACAGTAAGCATCTCTTAGGGTGGATGGCCTTTAGCAGTGTAGGTGTAGCTGTGATAAATGGGTATTTCTCCACTAAGCATCATCAGTGAAAGAGTTAACAAGTTCCTAAGAGCTGAGGTACCAAAGCCCAGTAGTAATTTGTTTTCATTGTCAACTTTGCTTCAGGCTGTTGCTGTTACATTTGTTTCAGAACGAGAAGCCAGTGGTTTGTGTTCAGCTTGTGTTCAGTTTTTCTGCAGTGACCAATGTAACAAGATAATTTTAAAATAAAGATGAAAAAATTCTGTCATGTTTACAGTGCCTATCCTGACCTGTAAGATATCCTGGTTGTGTTTTATCTTTAAATTTATTTAAGTTATTTGTCCCTTGGGATTTTTTTCTTTCCTTTTCCATTCTACTCTGTTCCTTTGCAAGGTGGTAGCTGATGGTCACCTCCATCCTAAACTGAAACTGTAGTGGATATCTTGACATTGTATAGCAGCTGCTACTATGTAAGTGAAAGAACAGACAATTTTTGCCATTTACTCACAGGTATCAGGAGACTTTTCTCTGCTTCTCCAATTCAGTTAAATCTGTGCCTTCTGCTGTGGCTCATCACTTTTGGCTTTGTCCTCCTTCTGAGTCTGGCAACACCTTTTTAGAATTTGACATCACTGGTGCTCCTTCAGTCAGGTATCACACATCACCTGTGCACCTTTGCAAATGGTCTGACTTGGTCTTTGCTGTGAAGTCACCTTACAGTCACCAGGCCAGCCTTGGGAGGTACAAGGATCATCCAGGGCCAGGTCTGATTCTGGAGAATGGGGGCTTCCTGACAATGATTTGGAGGCTGGTAGGCAGAGCTCTCTTCCTTTTTTTAATACTTTTGCATCCCTGTCCCCAGTCCAGAAAGGTACTGCATAGCTGTGCTTCACGCTCTCTAAAGCCTCTGTGTATGTTCCCCGTGCCCTGCAATGGGCACACCCACAGCAATGACATATTATTAGTTAGGAGTTGTTCTGCTCGGGAATAAAGCAGAGAAACACAGCATGTGAAACCACTGCACAAGTAAACAAAACTGTAATTTGTGAAAATGTGGCTAATTAGAAATGGCCAATTCCATTTTCCCTCATGAAGGGAACCAAGGTCCAATTCTTCTAAGCTCTATAGTCAAAAGACTTACTCATATCAGCATTAAGAAAGTTTTACACTGAGTGCTGGGTTTTTTTTAACAAACAAAATAGGCCCAGAGTTGCTGATTCTTGCATTCTTTTATCTTGTTTCTATCCTTTTGGCTTATGTACGTTTTGAATTGTGCTGATCAAAACATGCTTCAGTACTCTCCAGCTACATTACTTGTTTATAGTCATGACACCTATTAATCCCAATATCCATCTGATAATACATTTTGTGCATTTGTGCCAGCCTCATCTAGCAATTCCCCCTTGACTATGTTCTCATTAACCCTAGGACTCTTTTCTGTGATATTTTCATTTCTCTGTACTCATGTTTATTCATCCTTTCCTTTATTTGCTGGGGTTGAACTTCAATTAATTGATTTCAGCTCATTCTTCTAGCTTGCACTTTGTGTATTCTCACCTTCCAGAGAGAGCTATGTACATGCTTCCCTCTTTCTATTCTGCAGGTATGGGCAGGCTCTCAAGCTGAGAGGGGTTGCTTGGGTATGACAGGACACCTCCTTGATTAATTCTCCACCACTAACACTTATCCTGGGTGTCTGGCTGTTTTTCATCAGGCTTTTTTACAAGGCAGAGGTAACATCAGTTGACACTCCTGTAGCAGAGACTTGTTTGCAATTTCGCAAAGAAATAGCTTCTCTTGTTTCCTTGGCATTCAACATAAAGATAAGAGAGGACTCGTAAAATCACAGAATCACAGAACAGTTTTGGTTGGAAGGGACCTTAAAGGTCATCTAGTTCCAGCTCCCCCACCAGAGAATAGATGCCACCCACCCGGCTGACAAAGCACTAAGTCACGTAGAATGCAGCTGACAGCAAAAACCAGGAGGGGACAGGGAAGTCAAGTACTTGCTCTGGATCTCAGGAGAAATGGACCAAGCTGTGTTCTTGTGTGACCTCTCCCAAGAAGATGGACTTCTGTCCTCCTCCAGTAGCAAGACTGCAGTGAGGTTCATGAATTTTCTAATACCTGTGTCTTAATAGATCTGACCCATATCACCCATTCCACACTTGGATCCTGTTTTAAGCTCCTAGCATTGATACTAACATTAATACTAAAGTCCTTGTGCTGACCATGCTATTTTTAACCACTGGAGCCCATGGTGTTTGTAGGTCTAAACCCAGGAACAAACACCTTTCATGGCAGTAATGCCAATGTACTGACTGTGGCTGCTGTTCCAAACGGAGCTCCTCTTCAGAGAGCATCTGTCTTAAATTTACACCCTTCTATATCTCTCCGGGAACCCCTTCTAGTTGCCTGACAGGGAGCCAAGGAAAGAGCTCCTCCCATGCTGTCTGAAACAAGCCAGGGTGCTTGAACAATGCCACCTCCCAGCACGGGACATCAGGGAGGCGAGTGGGCGACAAGGAGGAGGGAAGAAAGCACCTCTGAGCAACAGCCCTGGTGATGTATTTGGATGAGGGTGTTTGTTCACAGCTCCAACGGTTTTTCCACCTCCAGCAAACTGCTGACAACCATCTGATGGCAAAATAAACCAAAATTGTGTGCATCTCCTACACTGCTTGCTCTAACAGCAAAACATCTGCATAGCTGTGATACTGAGTCCCTCTGGTAGTTTGAAGTTTACGATTCAGATCCTTCGTATTAAAAAGGATGCAATGTAATGCACTTTTCATTCAGTGGCTTTCATAGATGTGGAGAGTGAGAAAACATTCTTAGAACAGCTGTGGAGTTTAAAATGAATGTGTTGGCTGCAAAAACACTGCATGGCAGGACACACTTCCCTGCATTTGGCACACGCTGGAGGAGCTGAGGTTTGAGAAGTAGCATTCAGATTTCAGTAATCCACATACAAGGTCATTTCAGGGAATGATAGACATAGACTGTGGAGTATTTTTTGTTCACTAGGCTTGTTATCCTGTCAAAGAATATAATTAAATTGGCTTCTTAGATGCACTATAAGCCCCAGTTGTCTGCTATTTATCACCTTATTTTGCTGCTCACTCAATGACTACGTTATTAATTTCTTACCTATTTTTTAGCAACTGATGCAGTGTTCTTTGTGTTCTAGTTCCCTGTCTTCCATCACCTATATAAATTGGAAGCTATCTCATTTCTTGGAAGAAAAAGTTGGCTTATATTCTTTCCCAGCAGATAACATTTAGGGTCACACTTTGCTTTCAGGGGTGCTCATAAGTAATCATCTGTATCAGAAGTTGTGATTATTCAGCTGGTTACCCAGCTTACATTTAGTGGTGCCACGCTGAGTAATAGCCTGTATTTAAGTTTTCTGTGTCTTCATGTTGAACTTCATAGATTTGTTTTGTGATTTGGCTTGTTGCTTCCTTCCTGCTATCAGGAAAGGCTTTCTAAAGGTATTATGCTTTTTAGTAGAAAGTAGGCAAGAGTTTCAGTCTTCATACAACCACAATAAACCAAAATGCTCTGCGTGTCTTTCCTGTAGTAACTGAAGGGTATCCACCTGCTTTATTAACATGAACTAATATGCTCTCAATGGCTCCTCTGTAATAGAAGGATATCACTCTTACTATCTCTTAGAGAAGGCAAACTAGGGTTCGGAAAGGGTGTGGATTGCTCCAAGTTCATTGAGATCCACAAGCTGTGATTGAAATCTCTAACACTTGCCTTGAATAGACACATTGGAGTATGTGTAGTACAAAACTGCTCAGAACCAGCTTCCTCTGTAAGACACTGATAACTCAGTGGAGCCCTCACTTTCCTGGGTGCTCTCTCTTCCTACAATAGTCAGACACACACTTTGGGTGAAATGCTCCCTAAATTTCTCCTGGTTGTTTTTGCCACCCACAGGAAAAACCATGTGGGTCTGGCAGCCTCCCCCACCTTCTGGATGCAGCTTATATCTTGGTCACCCTAAAATCCTTTCCTAGAGAGACTTCTGCCAGGATATAAGAAGGAGGGGGTTCTAGGGGTAGGGAAGAGCTTGTCACCTAGGACAATAGGCTCTTAGGGGTAGAAAAGTCATACTTTTTCAGCCTACTTTTCCTAAGCTGTTGCAAGACAAATTACATTGTGCTGATGAAAAAAGAGCCTGAGTTTTTGGAATGGTGGGGGACAGTGAGTAGCCATCCTTTGTTCTCAGCATCAGTTTCTCCAGGGGTTTCTCTTACTTCTCCCATCTTGGCCTATCTTCTTTACTTCCTCCTTATCCCAAAACCCTAAAGCCTGGAGTAGTAAAATTAAGTTTTGCCAAAGTCACTGAAGCATTGAGCTGTTCCTGAGCTATAACCTCTCTGTGCATTTCCCATTTTCCATGCTCCACTGTCTGAGGTAAAAGCTTCCTTTCTCAAAGAAGGAAGGTTCTATCAAATACAAATTCCAGGCCTGGAGGGGGAAGAGTGAATAAACATTCAAAATTTTTATTCTTAAATGTAATGAATTTTAAAGACAATCTTGTGTTTTGAGACCTGACGTGTGCTTTTTTATCATTTGGAGGCGGCAAAAGTACAAGTGTGTGGGGAAGTTTTAAAACCTGTTTACATTATAAACAGAGTACACTGCTCCCATTCCCCACTCCAGATCAGCTATACTGCGTTTTTTGAAAGTGCCTATCAGAAACATCAGCGTCCTTCCTTCGGAG